GACAGTTATTCATTTTTCTGATGGAAGCTTATACAGTAGGTCCTCATTTGAAGGAGTCAGCTTTCAATGTGTACATTAGATTTATAAACAAGAGATCCAAAGAAATAATAAACCAAGAACAAGGATTAGCAATGTTTTCATTTAAAACATCCTTAATTTAACTCCAAATATATTCTGCAAATATAACTGTAATAATAATTGCAAAAAATCACTGTATTTTAAAATTAAATCTTAGTCATAATCACTTTCACTTGAGTTTCCAGGAAATGTCCCAGTTTCTCAATCAATATTTCACCATAAATAATGGCAATAGTTTTCCTAGAAATTACAGTAATTGCCATCATTATAATAAATGCCAAGTTCATTGAAACATGCTCAGTTAATTTTCATGCATATCTTCTGTACCGAAACATTCTATAAGATGGTAGAAAACTAACCAATCAGGTCAAGAAGTCAGTGATCCTATCCTATCCATCTACAATCAAAGAAAGAATTATCTTATTTCCACCAGGCAGTTTTCGCTAGGAAATTGATTAGAAGAGATATGGCTTTGATATGGCTAACCGTGTTGGCATCCTCTATGACTAGGTAGGTAGGTAGGTAGGTACGTAGGTAGGTACGTAGGTACGTAGGTAGGTATTGATTCTTAATTCTTTTAAGTAGCCTTATGGTTTCAGGAAGAACTTCACTTTTTAGATTCTGCCATTCAGTTAACAAATAATTATTAATCCTTTGACACTAAACTATTGCTTGTATATATCACATTTGAACCACTATGGTCATAATTTTAACTTTTCTTAACTAGATCCTGATTACAATTAATTAAAAATGTATTGGTTCTCTTGTCATTCCCACAGCCATGTAAGATAGGAGTTCTCCAACTTTGTGATACTTTGATCCCTTAAAATGTTAAAATGAATTTGTGCGATTCCCCACCCCATGAATAAAACTAATGATTTCATGAGAATTGCAATGCAAATAATTATACCATTTATTTTTAATAATTAAAGATTATTTATATGTCAAAATTTGTAAAGTATAAAATTGAAAGTATTTAATGGAAATAAACAAGACTCCAATGAAAATTAAAAGCTTAATTTTAATGGGTAGGATGAGGTTGTCTATAATTCCAGAAATCTGAGCTGCATTGTGAATACAGCAATTCTCATTCACCAAGAATTGGAATGGCAAGTGAGGTGAATGTTTTCTTGCCTTAAACCAATTTCTCTTAAAATGTTGCAGCTTGAAAAACAGTGACATTTGCTTTTGGCAATTTCCCATTGTAACAGTACTAAGATAATGATTACAGCACAAGTGTCCACAGGGAAACAACAATAAACAATAAAATATTCGTTGGAATGGTGCAAGACAAACTCATTTATCTATTTATTTGTAATATTATTGCAAATAATAAAAGGATGAGATGCATTGTGATGTTATGATGCATATTTTGTTATTTTAGCATTATTGTAGTTTGGAGTGGATGCTTGTGAATCACATCTTTGGTTTTTTTCTAGCCTTGTGTTTGGTGCTTATAAATCACACCTCCCATTCTTCCCCTCCTTGCAATATATTGCCCCACTTCCATTCATCTCTGTATGTATTCCTGCTGCAGAAAGTGTCAGGTCAGATGGCCAGATCATTGTATAAGAATCCTAAGTAATCCAGGCAGTGTTACTCCTCATTACATTGAAGTATAATGTGTCATTAAAAAAAAATATCACACAGGTTTCTGATAAAGTTCTGGAGCTGTCACTTTGCATTGAGCATACTTTTATATTAAATTGTTCAGTCTGCTTTAAAAGGACATGTGTGGCAAGTATCCTTCTATGCAACCCGCTGGTGGCTATGACCACACTTTGGGAAACATTGTTTAAATCAGGGGTGTCAAACTCAATTTCATTGAGGGCCACATCAGGGTTGTGTTTGACCTTGGGTGCCTGGGGGTGCATGGCCAGGGTGGATGTGACTACCCTGACATCACTCATTGAGGCTCCATTTTTGGCTGTGATGGCCTCCTAAAGCTCTCTGCCAGCAAAAACAGAGCTTGGGGAGGCTGCAGGCTCCATTTTCGTTGGCAAAGGCCTGCAGGCAACTGTCACGGCCAAAAACGGAGCCCATGCAGGTCACACATGGCCTCCCCGGGCTCCATTTTTGCTGGCAAAGACACCACGGGCCGGTCATTTGCTGTTTACAGGGTGCTCTGTGGGCCAGATCTAAGCACCCTTGGGCTGGATATGGGTCATGTGCCTTCAGTTTGACATCCCTGGTTTAAATGCAGATATATCTAGGTAGTTTTTATATAATATAATGAACTGAATTTGTATGTATGTATGTATGTATGTATGTACGTATGTACGTACTGTAGCTATCTGTTTATCCACCAGACCTGTTTCTCTTTTGTGGCTATCTATGGTCTCTGAAGTAAGATTGATATCTATGCTTCTGAGAAGGGTGATAGTACATACCTGGTATTTTTTTAAAAAAAAAAATCAGTGATTTTCACCCATTATAATTATTGGTTTTGTTGTTACTCTAAATATTTATAGTCAATAATCTTTTAGTACACAAAGCACCACTTTCATTAATACTAATTAATCTCTTCCATAAATTTTAGTAAAATTTATCTTTATGAAATTATATTGGTGAAATTCACAGCGCATTCTCTGTTCAAAGACTTTCTGTAAATTTTTTGAGGAGAGAGAGAGAGGGAGGGAGAGAGAGAGAGAGATGAGAGAGAGAGAGAGAGAGAGAGAGAGAGAG